CAAATACCATACCATACCATACCATACCACTTTATTTATAAAGCACTTAAAACAGTGACAAGGCCAACCAAAGTGCTGTACAGACAAAACAACAGGTAATGCACCAAGCAAAATACAAAATGAGGAAAATCAGAATATAGACATAAAGACGATGCAGATAATGACGACAAACCAGTGTGGAGCATACAGGATCAAAACACAGATCACCTGGTGTTGAAAGCTACTGAATAATACTGAGTTTTTAAACGGGACTTGAAAACGGAGTGGGAGGGGGCCTGTCTGACAAACAAAGGTAACTCGTTCCAGAGTCTTGGTCCTGCTACAGAGAAGGCCCTGTCACCTCTGCGCTTAAGACGAGTTCCTGGAACTGTGAGGAGCAACTGGTCCGCTGACCTCAGGGAACGTGGTGGGACATACGGTTGTAGCAGATCAGAGAGATGGGGGGGGCGAAACTGTTCAGTGATTTGTAGACATACATAAGTATTTTGAACTGGATTCGAAAGTGAACCGGTAACCAGTGCAGTGAGGCCAAAACTGGTGTAATGTGCTCTCTTTTGCTTGTACTGGTTAAAAATCGGGCTGCTGCATTCTGGACCAGTTGTAGTCATGCAATGGAGGTCTGACTGATACCAAACAGGAGTGAATTGCAGTAATCAAGCCTAGATGGAATGAATGCATGTATTACTGTCTCCAGGTTATTTTTGGACAATATGGGCTTCAGTTTAGACAGCCGCCTCAGTTGGAAGAAGCATGATTTAACAATCATGTTTACATGATTGTTAAGCTTCAGGGAAGTGTCCATTATCACGCCCAGATTAGTGACTCTTTGTTTTTCTGACAGGGTTAGAGCGGAAAGGTCGATGCAGTGGTTTGTGATCGTGTCGTTGGGAGGGAACAACATGACTTCAGACTTCTTTTCATTGAAACTTAAGAAATTTAAAGACATCCAGTCCCTGATGTCAGCCAGGCAGTTGAGCAGCGGTTGAATAGAGGATGCACCATTGCGTCTTAGGGGGAAGTAAATTTGACAGTCATCGGCATAGAAGTGGAAGGGGCATGTTGTGTTTCCGGAAAATAGCACCAAGCAGCAGCAGGTATAAAGAGAATAGGAGGGGACCCAGGATGGACCCCTGCGGAACCCCCCATTTAAGCTCTGCCTCTGCGGAACTAAAATCCTTGATGGAGACACAAAAGGATCTGTCAGCGAGGTAAGATCTGAACCAATTGATGGCTGATCCTGTGACGCCCACCCACAGCTCCAACCTAGCAATGAGGATCTCATGGTCGATGGTGTCAAAGGCGGCTGTGAGGTCCAACAGGAGAAGCAGCACAGAATCACCGGTATCTGTGAATCTGAAGATGTTGTTAAAGACCTTCAGCAGGGCAGTTTCAGTGCTGTGGAGAGATTTAAAGCCAGATTGGAAAAGTTCTAAGATGGCGTGAGTTATAAACATCTGTAAAACGTGCGGCAGTGAAGTGGTTAATGGGCCGGGTGCTACTTGCAGGAATGCACAGCTTAGGAGTTAGATGGGGGAGGGTGAACTCAAACCAGACTGGCATGTGGTCTGAGAAAACATCATCACCAATAACAAGATTATTAACAGTCATATCATGAGTTAAAATAAGGTCCAGTGTATGTCCACACTCTTGGGTGGGACCGTTTACATGCTGAGTTAAATTAAATGAGTCCAATAGATCTAAAAAGTCCTTAACCAAGGGCTTCCCAGGACAGCACATGTGCAAATTAAAGTCCCTAATAATGAAAACATGCTCATATTTTGGTGTGATTTCAGCCAAGAAGTCAGAAAACTCATTTATGAAATCCTTAGATCGAGGTGGGCGGTAGATGAGTGCAAATAAAGTCTGAGGTGAATGTCCGAGTTCAAAGACACTCAGCTCAAAGTTGGCACGGGAAACTGGGATGGGCAGTTGTTTACAGTCAAAAGTTGATTTGAATATTGTTAATAATCCACCACAGCGCTGGCCTGATGGCCGCGGTGTGTTAAAGTACAGACAGTTCGGTGGCAGTAATTCCGTCAAGGCGCTGGACTCACCCGGAGACATCTAAGTCTCTGTGATGCACAGAAAGTCCAAATCGTGCTCTTGAAAGTAGTCCCTGAGGATAAAAGTTTTGTTGGTAACAGATCTTGCGTTGACCAAACACATCCGGATACTGTCCAAAGTGGAGCCAGCAGCGGTGGAGTTAGCGCGCGCTAATGACCGCAGGTTTTCAACAACAGCCCCTCCAGGTCGGTACGAGCTGCGCATCGGCTGACAACCCCCGCTGGCCACCTGGTCCGGGCACGCGGGAAGCTGGAGATGGAGACCATGACCGCTAGCTGGAGAGGAAGATGCAGCACGCAGAGCTTTAATCTTCACCAGCTGACCAGCACGTTTTCCCCGGTGTCTGAAGCGATGTCTCCGGGCAGGGAGGTGAGGAGCGCAGCAAAGGTAAACTGGCACATCCGCCAGCAGGGGGAGAGGGGGGGGGGGGGGTAGAGGGACTCTCCTTTTGTTCAAAATAAGCGACTTCAGTGGCAGAAAAACGAAGATCCAAAAGTTGTTGTCTGTCATACACCAGCAGAGAGTTGATGTCATTGATGAGGAATACAAAAAACAAAACTAATCAGAACACCATCAGCAGAGGTGGATTGCAAGCCATGTACACGGGCGCCATCTTACCGGAAGTTAAATAAATACGGTTTCAGTCTTATATCTTACACAGTGCCAAGCTGGAAGAGTCACCCAATAATCATCAGTTTCTTCTCTGAGTGGGCCGGGCTTAAGTCAAGTCATGAACCAACAATATTAATGTGTCTACAAGTGCGCACTGATGAAGTACCAAAAACTTGGTCTAGATCAGATGATGTATCACTGAAATATAACTGTTGGATTATCTAGGGGTGCAATTGTGTCATATGTTCAACTACAATATCAATGTGTCTACAAGTGTTCATTGATTATGCACAATAAATGTGGTGATATCGGACGATGTATCACTGAGATATAACTGTTGTAATAATGTAGGGGCGCACTGGAGTCAAATGTTAAAGAACATTAAAAATGTGTGTACAAGTGCTCAGTGATTATGCACAAAAAAATCTGGTTCCGATCGGATGATGTATCACTGAGATATAACTGTTGGAATAATCTAGGGGGTGCACTTGAGTCATATGTTAAACAACAACACCAATGTGTCTAGAAGTGCTCAATAATGATGCACAAAAAATCTGGTGCAGATCGGATAATATATCATTGACATATGTGCTAATAAGATTGATCACAACAGCTTGGAGAGATTTCTTTTGAGTTGATTGAAGAGTTTTAGGAGTATTTGAGAGTGTAGCATGCTCTAGAGCTCTCAGACATGGCTGTTCTCAAAAAAGAAGGGAAGGCTTTCTCTCAATGGCTCACAAAAGCCTCGAGGACTCATAACTCCCCAATTCATCTCATCGGCGCAAGGAAACCACCACTTTAGAGAACATCCAGTTCTTGGGACATCAAAATCAACTAACAGGATCCTCCCTCAAGCAATGTATGCACTCTGTATTATTGATTTTACTAAATAAGCAAATGTAATCCTTTTGGATCATGCAATTAATGCTGTTCCCCTGCCAATCATTAATTAAAGCAAAGCATAAAATGTAAAATTCTGGACTACCATTTCACCACTGGATTTATGAAGCTTGGTTCAATAATTATAACTAAAGACGGAGGTTTTAAAAGGTTTTCTTAACTTTGAATATTTAAACAACATCCTGGAATCTTATTCCTAGATTCTAAAAAGAACCAGATCAGTACGAATAGCCATTCTACAATGGAGGTGGGCGGCCGTGAAAGTGAGTTTCCCTGTGGACGATGATCCAACCCCAGCGGCTAGGTTGGGCGAGTCACGGGGTGATATAAGGGTGTGACTCACAGATGGAGGTCGTTAACAAATCTGGGTGAGTCACCTTCAACACAGCCATTAGTGGAACTAACCTAAGGTCATTCTGGATAATACTCAAGTGCTGGATTTAGTTCGTAATACCACTTAGAGGAGAGGCTGCAGTGGGGTTTAGTCATAACTCAGTTGGTAACTCCACTGGGTAGATTGAGAATGGAAATATGTCATCAAATAGAGACATTTTTGAAAGAAACAACTTTATTCATCGTTAACTATAAAATATTTAATCTTACACAACTAAAAAAATATATACATATATTTAGAAATATATATATATATATATATATATATATATATATTTTTTTTTTTTCATTTTAATTTAAATTATTTTTGTCTTATTCAAGGTAATGTGGTGAGGCGGCACCCCAGCGCCCTCTATTGGTCAGCCATCAATGATAACACACCTCAAAAATTATCAAAACCTCACTGCAGTATAAGCTGTAAATTTTTTTAATATAATTTTGTCACATGTGTATGTTAACACGTGTCAGTGACTGACGCCTGCGAGGAGCACAGATCTAAGAAGCATAAAATACATGGGAACTGTCTAAGGGGCACTTCCATTTTCACTGAGAAGAAAACAGTGTGATGACTCTTCAGGTCAATAAGGTACAGATCAGTGCTTGTATGTCCATAACTAGCATAAAGTTGTGCATAATTAAGGAATAATGGCTGCTTTGGTGCTGCATGAGAACATCACAAATAGACTTGGGCGGCAACGACTTTCAACTTTCATTCTGCTGATTCAATTTTTAAAAAAGTTCACAAGTACAACTGACTGAAATTAGCTCTAGCTTATTTTAAAGGAACATATTCAGAAACAAAGTCTTTCAGAGAAATGTGATCACAAAGCTGCAAAAACTACATCTTTCAACAGGAAGTCATTTCAAAAAGCATCGGGCTGAAACATGTTATTCTAATCTTTCCATCTATGTTTACCGTGTGAGTGATTACATAAAGGAGTTTGTCTACAGTTTTATTGAAACAAGTGATTTTAAAGTGAATTAAAAACACACACACACACACACACACACACACACACACACACACACACACACGCACACACGCACACACACACATATACATATATAAAAATGTAGCAACTTAATTAGTGAGCATGTGAAAACATTTAATATTAAAGAAACATGTAATAAAATTAATACAAAGAATATTTTTAGCTTGTAAATTTTCCATTTAAGGTCTTCTGGTAAAATTTTATTAGGCAGCTTTTGAACATTAGGAGCAACAGAAAGTTTATGAAATCAAGGCCTTATAATCATGAATAAAATAGTCACTGTCCGTAAACACTAGTGGCTGATCAGAGTGGAAAACAGTTAAACTGAAGGCATCACAGTGATTTAAGAAGAAAAATATATAACTTGAGAACACTAAGAACTCTAATGTTTCATAGTAGTAAATAAATGGCTCAAAATGTTCTGGTAAACCTCTGAAGTCCTGTCAGCCTGCCTGAAATGCCTTGAGGGAAGCTTTATGAACAAGATTCAGGCTTCCAGGTGTAAACATCCTGCTGACATTTGGTTCCAGTGCAGCTTGCTGGTCCCACAGGAGTCACCTGGTCCTCTGCTGCAGACTGAGCAAACCTGCCCGCTGCTGGTACTGGTTCTCTTTGGCCTCTGAGATTTTTGCTGACAGGTCTAGTGGCTTCTCGAAGAAGTTCACCAGTGCCGGCTCTGTCAGCAGTGAAGCCAAGATCTGAGCATAGCTGATCGTCCACTCGTTCTCTGCAGCCAAACCACTGTCCAGCTCGCCATTCGCAGTGGCCACCTGCGACCATCCTGATGCTTTAGCCTCCTCTTGGCTATTGACCTCTGAACCCTTGGCTTGCCCATGGTAACTTGCCTCGCCAATCTGCAACACGAGACTGGTAACTGTGGCGATGGCCTGGAAGAGGTCGTTTTCCTCCGGGTCGTTATGGAACATACTGTAGAGCGTCTTACAGAACTGGATGAACTCTCGCTGCAAGAGAAGAGATGAGGGTATAAATGACTTTCCACTAACTGTGCATTTTAGGTCTTTAGAGTAAACTATGTGGCAGAGAGAGCACCTGATTCATGAGAGGCAGAGGCTTGTCCACATCTTTGTCCTTCTCTTTGGTCAGATCCTGCAGCATCTGCTTTAGCTGATTTTGGTAATCTCCCACTTCTTCATCTCCCCCTGGAACAGCAAAGGTGAGGATTGTTCAGTTACTGTGATCAGACAGCTGTACAAAAATTACATTTAAGACATTTTGATCAGAGTCAGAGAAATTTGTCATATACACCACACGTGGTACATGAGGTGGGACGAAACTATGTACACAGGGTACCAGTTACATCCAACAAAAACACAAATTGTAGAGAAAAACATTAGTAAGATCCGAGTCATGAACCAAGCATATAATACATTCACTAAACTAAGAATACACAAGACTATGAATATGCTAAGCACAAACAGCACAAAAACAATGCAACAAAACAACAGCAGCACGAACATGAGTCAGCGCGAGCAGATGAGGACCAATGAACACAGCAACACGAAAAAATCAGCAGCATCAGATCAGCATCATGTATAGTCAGCAGCACACAACAACAACCAAGTGGCATTACAGCAATTTTTCAGATTTTTTTCACAGTAATTTTTCACAATGAATTTCCCTGGTTAGAGATTCATGAGTCTAACAGCCTCAGGGTAGAAGCTGTTCCTCAGTTTAGTGGTTCTGTACTTAATGCTCCACAGCCTTCTGTCTGAGGGGAGCGGGGCAAAAAGTGTGTGTGCTGGGTGTGTGAGGTCCTTCATGATGCATGATCAGAATCAGAATAAACTTTATTGGCATTGCACCGAGATGCAACGAGAATATGTACGTACAGTCGTTCGAAGATGGGCGGATTGCACGAAGCTGCGGCTACAAATACAAACCGGATTCCAAAAAAGTTGGGACACTAAACAAATTGTGAATAAAAACTGAATGCAATGATGTGGAGATGGCAAATGTCAATATTTTATTCGTAATATAACATAGATGACAGATCAAAAGTTCAATCTGAGTAAATGTAACATTTTAAAGGAAAAATATGTTGATTCAAAATTTCACAGTGTCAATAAATCCCCAAAAAGTTGGGACAAGTAGCAATAAGTGGCTGGAAAAAGGAAATTGAGCATATAACAAACAGCTGGAAGACCAATTAACATTAATTAGGTCAATTGACAACATGATTGGGTATAAAAAGAGCTTCTCAGAGTGTCAGTGTCTCTCAGAAGCCAAGATGGTAAGAGGATCACCAATTCCACCATTGTTGCGTAGAAAGATAGTGCAGCAATACCAGAATGGTGTTCCCAGCGTAAAATAGCAAAAACTTTTAAGTTATCATCATCAACCGTGCATAACATCATCAAAAGATTCAGAGAATCTGGAACAATCGCTGTGCGTAAGGGTCAAGGCCGTAAAACTCTACTGGATGCTCGTGATCTCCGGGCCCTTAAACGTCACTGCACCTCAAACAGGAATGCCACTGTCAAGGAAATAACAGAATGGGCTCAGGAATACTTCCAGAAAGCACTGTCAGTGAACACAATCCACCGTGCCATCCGCCGTTGCCAGCTGAAACTCTACAGTGCAAAGAGGAAGCCATTTCTAAGCAAGCTCCACAAGCTCAGACGTTTGCACTGGGCCAGGGGTCATTTAAAATGGAGCGTGGCAAAATGGAAGACTGTTCTGTGGTCAGATGAGTCACGATTTGAAGTTCTTTATGGAACACTGAGACGCCATGTCATCCGGACCAGAGAGGACAAGGATAGCCCAAGTTGTTATCAACACTCCGTTCAGAAGCCTGCATCACTGATGGAGAGCATTCCTAATTCTAAACTTGAGAAACTGGTCTCCTCTGTCCCCAGACGTCTGTTGAATAATGTAAGAAGAAGGGGGGATGCTACACAGTGGTAAAAATGGACTTGTCCCAACTTTTTTGGGATTTGTTAATGCCATGAAATTTGAAAACAACAGGTTTTTCCCTTAAAATGATACATTCTCTCAGTTTAAACTTTTGATCTGTGATTTGTGTTCTATTCTGAATAAAATATTAGATGTTGGCACCTCCACATCATTGCATTCAGTTTTTATTCACAATTTGTTTAGTGTCCCAACTTTTTTGTAATCCAGATTGTACTGTATATATGTATATATATATATATATGTATATGTATATGTATGTATATTATATATGTATGTATATATGTATGAATATGTATATATATATATATATCTGTATGAATATGTGTGTGTATATATATATATATATATATATATATATATATATATATATTTGTATGTATGTATATATGTATATGTATGTATATGCAAATATATATGTATATGTATGTGTATTTATATGTATGTGTATATATATATATATATATATATATATGTGTATATGTATATGTATATATATATGTATGTATGTATATATGTACAGGTCCTTCTCAAAAATTTAGCATATTGTGATAATGGTCATTATTTTCCATAATGTAATGATAAAAAAGAAAATTTCATATATTTCAGATTCATTGCACACCAACTGAAATATTTCAGGTCTTTAATTGTTTTAATACTGATGATTATGGCATACAGCTCATGAAAACCCAAAATGCTTGTCCCAAAAAATTAGCATATCATGAAAAGGTTATCTAAACAAGCTTATTAACCTAACCATCTGAATCAACAACATAACTCTAAACACCTGCAAAAGATTCCTGAGGTTTTTACAAACTCCCAGCCTTGTTCATTACTCAAAACCGCAATTATGGGCAAGACTGCCGACCTGACTGCTGTCCAGAAGGCCATCATTGACACCCTCAAGCAAGAGGGTAAGACACAAAAAGAAATTGCTGAACGAATAGGCTGTTCCCAGAGTACTGTATCAAGGCACCTCAGTGGGAAGTCTGTGGGAAGGGAAAAGTGTGGCAGAAAACGCTGCACAATGAGAAGAGGTGACCGGACCCTGAGGAGGATTGTGGAGAAGGGCCGATTCCAGACCTTGGGGGACCTGCGGAAGCAGTGGACTGAGTCTGGAGTAGAAACATCCAGAACCACCATGCACAGGCGTGTGCAGGAAATGGGCTACAGGTG